GATGTTTTTATTCGGAAACAAATAGATACATTGTTGCAACCGCTATAAATGTCAAGGAACTGTCAAAGAAATAGCGGAGCTCTCTGCAGGGACACTTTTTGCCGTACTGGAATTCCTCTTCCTCTTCTTCTTCCTCCTCATAAAAAAATCGGCCGATTTGCCCATCATTGCTGCGAAAATCGGCCGATTTTTTTTCCAACTTTACCGATAAAAAAAAATCTGCCAAAATAACGAAAAACGGCCGAACAAATAGCCCACTAACGATCCGAAAATCGGCCGATTTTTATTTTCGGCCGAAAAATCGGCCGATTTTCAACCCATCTATGGCCTGCATTAGTCTGTGTGGCTGTGGACTCTGACATGTTCTGGGTGAAAGCCAAGTGTCTGGGCAACAGACTTTGTAAATAAACCTCAATTGTTTCACCAAGACCCTGCTGTGCCTTTTACATTGTACTGTAATTCATCCGGGGAGTCGAGCACAACCTGCTACTAAACTAATTCCTCACTATATCTATCTATATATATATATATATATATATATATATATATATATATATATACAGACACAGACAATTTATGCTAAACCTAAAAGGTAAAACTGTATTGAGTAATAAAGCTTTGTGTGTAAATTAGGTGTTGGGAATCATTCACATAGGTGCTGTAGCCTGTACAGTGTAAATCAGTGTTTTTTTTTTTAATGTGGTTGAATCTGTGTGCAGGCAGGCTGTGTAACACTATGGGTATGCAACGGCTGTAAAAACGCAGCCACAGGTCCTAATTTGCAGGTTTGTGGGTGCAGGTGTACAGCCCCAAATAAAGAGAGTGTGCATTTGGAGCTCCTCTCACACACCTGCACTCGTGTCAAACTAGGACCTGCGACTGTGTTCATACAGCCACTGTGTCCTTATAGATTACCAGGCGGCTCCAGTCGCACAAAGAAACCAATCATTCATACTGTATGGGTAGAGAACCCATGTGAATGAGCCTAATTCTTTACTTTTTTTTTCCATATTTGCAAAATAGTTTTTTTTTAAATGATTTTTTTTACAAGACTGTTGGGGATGGGGGCTTTGGTGAAATATCAGGGGTCTAAATAGACCCATGATGTCTCACTTTTGAGACAGAGTAAGGGACTGAGAATATTAATTCCTCAGTCCCTTTCTCTGAAGCCTCAGCTGCACTGGACAGTGAATGAATGGAAGAGTCTGTAAACAGGGCTCTTGCTCATTCACAAACTGAAGCATAGTAAATACAGTTTACTATGCTTCAGTTAAGAATGAGCACAGTGAGTGATTGGTACTAATCACTCACTGTCCTCATTCACAAAAGGAAGGGGCTTGTGGAGAAACCAGGCAGCAGGGGGATTGAATCTTGGCCAGGGAGGGTGATTGATACAGTGTGAAGGGGGGGGGGGGGGGATTATAAGAACTGATCCTATTGTGTTGTGGTGATGCAGGGAGAGACACACGGCGGGATCGGTTCTTATAATTCCACCCAACACACCCTCTCCTGCTCACATCGAATTCCCATGCTGCCCTAGCCCCCTTGAGCAGCCAGTGACACAGGGGGTGATTAGGGTGTGCCCAAGCACATCTAGCACACCTTGTGCCCATGCCTATGATATTGATTGTATACATTTCTGAGTAGCCTTCTTCTAGTCTGCATTTCTAGCTTCTTCACCAACAATGACCATCAATGCAATAAGCAAGCCAGCCTCCTGCATGCTTTGCATACTTGTAAAAAAATATATATAATTGAGGCTTATAAGGACATGTATGCCAACCTAAACATACCGGAAAGCTAAGGAACTCCGCTTGCTGTGATGCCAGTCATTTTATGTTGGAGGGCCAGGAAAAAAAGTTGTACAAAAAATGCTAGAAGATGCCTTACCCTTCCATACCCATGCCAGCACATTGTATTCTGTCAGTGGCACCTGCAGCTGTCACAATATGCTGATCTATGGCTGAAGCGAATATCAGAGTGAGAGCCATAATCCTAGATCCTTCATTCATGAATATTTCTAAACTGATGATCTGTATATGCTTTTAAAGTGTCACTTGTGCTAGTTCACACTAGATGCAGTATAGTGCATTTTGTTTCTGGATTAAAAATGCATGCACAGTGTTTTCTATGTATTTCAATGGCCCTAGTTCACACCAGTGCACTCGGTTCCAGTCAGTTTCTGGTGCAGAAAAAAAAATTAGAGCATGCTGCATTTTTTTCTGAACAGAACCATACTGGAACATGGCAAACTGCATCAAAACTGCACCGGAACTGCATGTGGTGGGAACTGTAAGCAAAAATGCAGCCAGAGTGCGTTTCTGTAGTGTGAACTGACCCTTAGAGACAATTTAGGGTACCATAATTTTTTGTGATTTCACAGGCACATGCACATTTACAGACTTGACATGTTTGGTATCTATTTACTTGATGCAAACTCCTCTTTTATATTTCGCCAAACAATTGAACAATATTGTGGGTTTTTTTAATTTCATTTTAGTGTATTTTACCTTAAAGTGATTCTAAAGGCTTCAATAAAAAAAAGAAAAAAACCCAAACATGTCTATATTTACCTGCTCTCTGCAGTGGTTTTACACAGAGCAGCCTGGATCCTCCTATTCTCAGGTCCCAACAGTCCGGGCTGTTGTAATAGCATCTTGGGCCCCTGGGCAAAGTATTGCACTGGGGCCCCTACCAGCCTGCTCCAATTTACGCAGCTACTCTCAAGAATTAAAAGTATACATAGTTGATAGAATTAAACATATATTTATTAGTACTTTCAATAAAATTGATATTAAACAATAAGAAAACATGCCATAAATCAAAGACTAATCAACACAAAGGGCACGGTATGACGGGAAGGGGACGGGGTTGTAGGCAGAAGGGCACAGTACAGGAGTCAGGAAGGTACAATACTGGGGTCAGGAGGGCACATCTGCCCACGCCATCCTAGGACAGTTTAGTAGGAAATGTGACTGTCCCGGCAAATGCGGGACCTTTGGCAGGTATGATATCATGCAAGATTATCATAGGGCCCTTATGCACTTGGGGCCCTCGATCAGTGCCCAGGCTTGCTATGGGGGCACCTGAGTATAGGCACTCCCCAGCCGCTGCTCCATGTGTCCATTCACACACAGCTGAGGCTTGGCCCCGCCCCTCTCTTCTCATTGGCTCACTGGCTGTGATTGACAGCAGCGGGAGCCAATGGCTCCCGCTGCTGTCTCACCCAATGAGGAAAGGGAGTACTGGGACAGCCGAGACTGCAGTGCACATCGCTGGATGGAAAGAGGGCTTAGGTATTAGGGGGGGCTGGGGAGATGCTGCACACAAGGTTTTTTACCTTCAGGCATAGAATACATGAAGGTAAAACACCTCGAGCCTTTACAACCACTTTAAAATATACATTGGATAAATAACTGCACAAACAATAAAATGTAATTGCTGCCCCATTGATTTACCACGATCACAGCGTTCTGAAAATATAACATTGTTTGGGATTTTACCGGCAAAAATACTGCTACAGGGCGGCACGGGTGCGCAAAAGCACGTATATATGTGTGATTTTGCATTTCCGGGTAGGGGGCGTGCACCGTACCCACGCCGCCATTTGCGGCTGCAGCTGTCAATCGCCAGGTCCCAGCCCGTGATTACTCGCTGATGCCTGGTGATTGCCAAGGATCTCCGACGGGGAGAACTGTTTGTAAACAATACAGTTCTTCACCCTGTCAGCTCATGCACAGCACAGCCATACAAAGCAGTGTGCTTACAGTGAAGCACAAACACACCCAGCACACAATTAACCCTTTGATTGCCCCAGATGTTAACCCCTTCCTGCCCAGTGCCATTAGTACAGTATCAGTGTTTTTTTTTTTTTTTAGCACTGATCACTGTATTGGTGTCACTGGGGAAGTCAGTTCCCCCCAGTGTCAGAATGCCCACCGCAGTCCCGCTATAAGTCGCTGATTACCGCCATTACTAGTAAAAAGATTAAAAAATCCCACTATCTATACCGCCATTTGTAAATGCTGTAACTTTCACGTAAACCAATTAATTTACACGTATTGGGATTTTTTTTTTAGCAAAGACGTAGCAGAATACATTTTGGCCTAAATTTGATGAAATTAGATTTTTTATATTTTTTTACTGGACATGTTTAATAGCAAAAAGTCTAAATATTTTTTTTCTCAAAATTGTCGCTTTCTTTTAATAGTGCAACAAATAAAAACGTACAGGTGACCAAATACCACCGAAAGCTCTATTTGTGGGGAAAAAAGGACGTACATTACAGTTGGATGCAGTGTTGCATGACCGTGCAATTGTCAGTGTCGCAGGGCCATAACACAAAAAATGGCCTGGTCAGGAAGGGGGGTAAATCCTCAGGAGGCTAAGGGGGGGTGAAAGTAATTACTATTATAAATAGGCTGATGACAAGATTGCAGCAGTAGACAGAGGCTAATGGAAGGTCATCTCTGAGCTGGAGGACACCTTGCTAAGGAGCTAACTCATGTGACCGGTTTTCTCCGCCCCACTGAAGCCACGCCCCCACTGAAGTCCTCTGTCATTAAGAGAATGTATCCTCTTGTGCCGAGCTCCGCCCCTGAAAGCAATCTTTTTTTCCGTCCAGATTCTCCGCCCCCCGTGAAGCCCCGCCCTCAGTTTCGTTCTGTGTCAAGCAATATCTGTACTGTCTTGTGCCAAGTTCCTCCGCCCCCCGTGAAGCCCCGCCTCCGGAGTACTCTTCTGTCCAGCCCCGATCCTGCGGCCCCATTGAAGCCCCGCCCTAGGAGCAGCCCACTTCCATACAGTGTATGTATTTCCCTTGGCAAAGTTCCTCCCCCCCTATGGCTCCGCCCGCGGTTCTACTCCCCTAGGAAGTCCCGCCCCAAAAACAGTCTTCTGTCATGCAGTGCATGTGCCGCTTTCTGCTCCGGTCGTCCGGTGGTCTCCATCGGTTCGGGCGATCCATTTCCGGCTCCGGTCTCCCCCGGTGTCGGCGCTCCATGTCGGGTTCGGTACAGTTGAGGGTGTTCCCGGAGCGCTGCCTGTTCGATGATCCTCTCCGGCTGGAGGTGAGCGGCTTGATCCCCGGACAGGAGGTGACTCTCCGCACCGAGCTGACCGATGAAGGCGGGGAGCCGTTCACTTCCCTGGGTCGGTACAGAGCCGGGAGCGGAGGGGAGCTGGAGCTGAGCCGGAGCCCGGCGCTGGAGGGCGGCACCTTCACCGGAGTAGAAGCGGAGGGGCCCCTGTGGGCTCTGGAGCCCCGGAATGGTGTGAGGAGGATGGTGAAGAAGGACGTGCGGAGCCCCCTGATTGTCCGCTTCTCCCTCCACCAGGAGCCGGCCGGAGCTGTGCTGAGCACTGCGGTCCAGGAGAGGAGCTTCCTGGGGGAAGGAGTCCGGAGGATCGGGGTGAGGGAGGGCGCAGTGCGGGCCACTCTCTTCATACCGCCCGGTGAGTGTCCCCAGGACGGGAGCGGGGCCACTGGGGGGGACATGGGGGATCGGGGTCACTGGGGAGGACATGGGGGAATCGGGGTCACTGGGGAGGACATGGGGGAATCGGGGTCACTGGGGAGGACATGGGGGGATCGGGGTCACTGGGGAGGACATACGGGGATCGGGGTCACTGGGGAGGACATACGGGGATCGGGGTCACTGGGGAGGACATGGGGGGATCGGGGTCACTGGGGAGGACATGGGGGGATCGGGGTCACTGGGGGGACATGGGGGGGATCGGGGTCACTGGAGGATTGGGGTCACTGGGGGGGACATTGGGGGATGGGGATCACTGGAGGATTGGGGTCACTGGGGGGACATTGGGGGATCAGGGTCACTGGAGGATTGGGGTCACTGGGGGGGACATTGGGGGATCAGGGTCACTGGAGGATTGGGGTCACTGGGGGGGACATTGGGGGATCGGGGTCACTGCAGATGAATAAGGAAAATTGGGGTCACTGGAGGTGACATAGAGGACCAGGGACACCAGGGGTAACATATGGGATCTGGGCGCAGTTCGGGCCACTCTGTTCATACCGCCCAGTGAGTGTCCCCAGGACGAGGGATCGGCCACTGGGGGGGACATTGGGGGGATCGGGGCCACTGGGGGGGGACATGGGGGATCAGGGTGAGGGAGGGCGCAGTGCGGGCCATTCTCTAAATACCGCCCGGTGAGTGTCCCCAGGACGGGGGAGCGGGGCCACTAGGGGGGGGGGGTGACATGGGGGATCAGGGTGAGGGAGGGTGTAGTGCAGGCCACTAAACTCATACTGCCTGGTGAGTGTCCCCTGGACAGGGGAGCGGGGTCACAGGAGGGTCCATGGGTGATCGGGGTCACTGGGGGTAAGGGAGGATGCATCACGGGGGGTGACGTGGAATCGGGGTCACTGGGGGTGTCGTGGAGGATTGGGATCAGGGGGGGTGACGTGGAATCGGGGTCACTGGTGGTGTCGTGGAGGATTGGGATCAGGGGGGGTGACGTGGAATCGGGGTCACTGGTGGTGTCGTGGAGGATTGGGATCACTGGGGGTGACGTGGAATCGGGGTCACTGGGTGTGTCGTGGAGGATTGGGATCACTGGGGGTGACGTGGAATCGGGGTCACTGGGGGTGTCGTGGAGAATCGGGGTCACTGGGGGTGACGTGGAATCGGGGTCACTGGGGGTGTCGTGGAGGATTGGGATCACTGGGGGTGATGTGGAATCGGGGTCACTGGGGGTGTGTCATGGAGGATTGGGATCACTGGGGTGACGTGGAATCGGGGTCACAGGATGGCATGGAGGATTGGCGTGAGGGAAGGAGCAGTGTGGGCCATGCTTTTCTTACTGGCTAAGAGGCCCCAGGAAAAGGATAGCGGGGTTACATAGGAATATTGGGGTCACTGGGGTTGACATAGGAATATTGGGGTCACCAGGTATGGTATGGAGGGATATTAAGGTCACCGGATGAGACATAGGAACATTGGGGGCACCAGGTATGATATGGAGGGACATTGGGGTCACTGGGTGTGACACAAAGAAATGATCGGGGACAGTGGAGGCTGTGTGTTATCTGAAGCTACACAGGACCGGGGCTGCCAGCCTCCTGGTTACTTTTTTTAACTGATAAAACATGGAAAGTATATTGACAGCATTTTTTTACTGACAACCAGAAACATGACAGATCTCATATTAGAAGCGAAGACAATCCATATTTGAACAGTCTGAACACAATATAAACATTGGCAACACCCAGAACAAGTCATCTGCCAGGTTTACATCTATAAAGTCATTACAGCGGTGTGATAAAGGACCCCCCCCCCCCCTCTTCCCCGGATTATAGATGAGAAAGACACTGGTTATGCCCATTCTCCTTGGCATGCACAGCAGAACTTCTATCAGTGGGAGGGGCTTAAAAGACGCACGTAAACAGAACGGCCACCTGACCGCCTACCTGTAAATGAACATAGCAGCTGCTGGGTGACTACACATTGCTGTGACCTGAATCCCTAGCTTCACAGAGCAGCAATGTAACTTTCCATACCAACTTCCACAGGCGCCCCCCCCGTCATTCTTGCCTATTGATGTCAGTGGGGCAGCACTATAGCCACAAGGCAATCATTTAGCTTGCATTAGGATGCAGAAGTTCAATGCAAAATTCCTATTTAGCTGGGGAAAAACACATTCAGGTGACAGCAGTATCACCTTCTGAATGCCTGCAAATCAATCCACTATACATCACTTTATAAAGAGTGGAGGGAATGGCAACCTGTGAAGGAGGTCCACTTTATGCCACATTGGGCTTATTCTGACTCATGCACTCCATTGTGGACATTGAGCTTGACTTGAGACTGCATCCCAGTGTCAACTGATGACATTTTGGGGACATCCATTTTATTATCCCGACACACCAAAGATTTGTGCTTATTATTTAGTGTTAGACACGCTGCAGGCGGCGGTCAGAGACTGCGGACACGCTGCAGGCGGCGGTCAGAGACTGCGGACACGCTGCAGGCGGCGGTCAGAGACTGCGGACACGCTACAGGCGGCGGTCAGAGACTGCGGACACGCTACAGGCGGCGGTCAGAGACTGCGGACGACACGCTACAGGCGGGCGGTCAGAGACTGCGGACACGCTACAGGCGGCGGTCAGAGACTGCGGACACGCTACAGGCGGCGGTCAGAGACTGCGGACACGCTGTAGGGAATTATTTATTTAACACAGCCGCTGGTGTGAACCGGCCCTAAAATATTATGTCTATGAACTTTTCAAACCCTTTTGAATCCCGGCATTCCCGATGTGATATCACTTACAAGCCTTGAAGAAGGGGGGTGGGTAAACCCTCAAAATATGTGGCTTTCTTATACTGTTAATTTTTCACTAATAAACAAAAACAACTTTGGACCATGTCACCATTGCTGTGGCATCCTTTCTGCTATCTGCTGGATTTCCCTCAGGATCTCCTTTTTTGGTTGCTGGTGGTTCATTTTATGGAAGCAGACTCACTGCAGCAATTCAGCTTGGCTCATAAAACATTCCTAATACTGGACATTAATAATAGGAGATCTTGGCACATATTATGTGAGTATAGAGACATCCAATGACCAATAACAGTCTATGCAGGAAAGTAAGCATAAAAATTCCACACCTTCATTCCAAAGTAAGATCTCTCTCTCTGTCTGGGTTTGGCGGTTCCCAGGAGAACGTTACTTACCGGACCGCACTGTGCCAAGTGTAAAGTGTGGTGGAGGGAGGATTATGGTGTGGGGTTGTTTTCCAGGGGTTGGGCTTGGCCCCCTAGTTCTAGTGAAGGGAACTCTTAAGGCGTCAGCATACCAAGACATTTGTGGGAACAGTTTGGGGGTGGCCCCTTCTTGTTTCAACATGACTGCGCACCAATGCACAAAGCAAGGTCCATAAAGACATGGATGAGCGAGTTTGGGGTGGAGGAACTTGACTGGCCTGCACAGAGTCCTGACCTCAACCTGATAGAACACCTTTGGGATGAATTAGAGCGGAGAATATGATCCAGGCCTTCTCATCTGACATCAGTGCCTGACCTCACAAATGTGCTTCTGGAAGAATGTCAAACATTCCCATAGACACCCTCCTAAACCTTGTGGACAGCCTTCCCAGAAGAGTTGAAGCTGTTATAGCTGCAAAGGGTGGGCCAACTCAATATTGAACCGTATGGACTAAGACTGGGATGCCGTTAAAGTTCATGTGAGTGTAAAGGCAGGCGTCCCAATACTTTTGGCAATATAGTGTTTGTATGTATGTATATACAGTAGGGATGCGCCGAACGTTTGGTGGCCGAAACATTTAGGCCAAAATTAAAAAAAAGCACTGATACAGGTGCCGAAAAAAAAAGGGCCCCTTGTGACCGCCCACCCTCCGTCGCTGCCGCCTGCTCACTGCTGCTGCCACCGGCCACCGCTTGGTGGTTCTCAGCCTTACCTGAGAAACCATTGAGCGATCCCGGCGCTGGGCATAGAGACGAGTGAAGGAAAGATGGCCTCCACTCCTCTCTATGCCCTTGGAGGACTGGAGCGATGTCACCTCCGGTTCTGGCCATTTTTTTTTTTTTTGATCCAATCCTTTACATTGCAGAGGAGAGATGTGGGGTCTTATTGACTCCATATCTCTCCATAAAGAGGACCTGTCACTAATTATTTCTATCACAAGGGATGCATGCACTTCTTGTGATAAGAATAAAAGTGATTAAAACATTTTTTAAAGGGACATCCACCAGCTCCGTGATGTCGTCATGGACGAGTGGAAGCTGACTCCAGTGGCAACCTGTGAAGCTCTGGAGAACTCCATGCCCAAGAGGGTTAAGGCAGTGCTGGAAAATAATGGTGGTGTCCACAGAAAATATTGACACTTTGGGCCCAATTTTGGACATTTTCACTTTTGTTGCCAGCGTTTTAGAGATTAATGGCTGTATGTTGAGTTATTTTGTGGGACAGCAAATGTCCACTGTTATACAAGATGTGTAATTTATTCAGTGTTGTCACATGGAAAGATATAATAATATATTTACAAAAATGTGAGGGGTGGACTCACTTCTGTGAGATACTGTGTGTGTATGTGTATGTGTGTGTGTATGTGTGTGTGTGTATATATATATATATATATATATATATATATATATATATATATATATATATATAATAAAATTTTACTCGGAATATGTAGCAAAATATGACGACATAGCGGGCATAGACAACTCTAGGAAAAGGCCAGCAGAGTTCACAGCATTTCAAAGATCATATATCCATATGTCCTATCAATTCTGTCAAACACGACTGCTATTTCATACAACGCAATGCTTTACAATTAGAATTGATTTACAGCTACTTCTGGCTTGTGCAGTGAATGAGATCCCATTACAGGTGTAGTAATGGTTGTGAATTCTGCCTACAGGACCCGGACCATTTCCCGGAGTGATTGAAATTCCAGGGACAGGCGGAGGACTGCTAGAATATAAAGCTAGCCTATTAGCCAGTAGAGGGTTTGCCACAATGGCACTGGCGTACTACAACTATGAAGATCTCCCAAAGGAAATGAAAGCTTTTTGCTTGGAGTACTTTGAAGAGGCGTTGAATTACATGCTGCAGCATCCAGAGGTGAGCGCCATTCTAGGAGGCTTGGATATCTTGTGAAATGCTTTCCACAGGGCTTCATAAGTCCTGCCTTGGATTAACCACTTTTCTGTCGCCCTATAGCAGATATATTGCTACAGGGTGTTACAGGTGCACATAATCACGTGTATATGTTACAGGTCACCTACAGCGACTAGCTAACCGAGGTGCGCACGTGCGGTCGTGACTGGGGGTAGGAGGGAATAAAGGGGACTTAACTTTGAATATATAAAACCGTATATATAAGACCAGCCGTCTTCCACAGCCCGCACTACCTTTTTCCAACACCGGAGGGAGACTCAACTCCAATCCAGATGGCCGACCACACACTGGCAGATACAAATCTTATATACAATCTGGTGCACTGATTAGAGTTGAGGAGCAGCTTCGCAATCACACACCCTTCTAGGATCCTTCCAGCTATCCTACAGCTAGAACCCCGCTGTTAATCACTCTTCCATTGTCCACACACCCTCACACCAGACACACCACAAACGGTAGCTTGCCACCACCCAACAGTTTTATGCGCAGAACAGTCTGCTGGGACACCCCACACACACAGATCTCCGTCTGGCCGATCTGTTAGCTTTACAATCTGCACGTAATCTGCCCACACGCAGTGCAATTGCATACAGATTGGCAATGAGCTTGACCGAGCGTTTAAAGGCACTAAAATGCAATACAATCTAATCTCTGAAGATATGAGCACATGCATAAAACGTACAAAATATAAAAAGCTACAGAAATACAAAAAATACAAGAAGACACACATGACTATTCACTATAAAATAAAAGGGAATAAAACAGAATAAAACTTTTACCAAGATTTACCCTGTGACTGGAGCAAGTCAGAGAGTCCATAATCAGTTAGTCGATCGACCAGCTCCATATGAATCCCAATGTCCCTATGTCCGGGTACTCAATTTATGGGGATATGGACGTAGGCGGAACATTAGTCCTCGGCCAAATGACCGTGGGGGGTGTTCCTGTATCTGCCCACAGGATTTTCTGGGTGCCCAGGGTCAATCGGACCAAGACCGGCTTGAATCACCAAGTCGAGGATTGGATTTTCGACACCAGCGCATCAGTCCGATTGCGACAGTACCAATCACTGTTCGACTGTTGCAATCCAGCTCCACCTAACCATTTCCTGCATTCTGCCTAATCCACAAATACGGTTTTTATATGTCGATGTGACCCACAGAGTGCCGTATCAGAAGGAAGTATTTTCGTCTCTGCAACTAATATTTTCGCTTTTATGAGGGATGAAACATACCCTTTGATGTCTGTATATTCTTTTAGAGCTCCCGCTGTCAGGGAGACAACCTGTCTCCAGCCATTTCCTTCCAACAGGTTTCCTCAGAAGGTGACAAAATCTTATTAGCACCCAGGTGCCACTTCCACAGGAAGCTAGGCTTTTCAGATGCTAATTGATGACCATTTGTGTCTGAGTACCTCTGACTGAATATTTCTTTACTGACAAGGCATGCAACTACATTTACGATTACATATTGCTGCAGGTCACATCTTATCTACTCAAATCTGTACATTCATGTCACATTTATATCACAGTATATATGTGATTTTGCATTTCTGTGTACCGGCCACGTTGCCAGTACCATGTGACCTGCTGTGACCAATCACAGCAGGTCACATGACAGTTGTATACAATGGATGGCTTCCTTTCATGCCATCCATTGTATACAAGTGTCTAGCTGTGAATGGTCAAAGTGATCACATGCGCAGGCTGGGCCAATCACAGCCCATCTGTGTCATGTGATTAGCCGTGGCCAATCACAGCTAGTCACAACAAAAAACCTGAATGAATCGATTTCATTCAGTTAAATGCTTGCTTATAGCAAATAAATTCTTTGCTGTAATCAATCAAATTGTGTAAAAAAAAAAACAAAAAAAAAAAAACTGATCACTTCCCCAAAGTAGTTTAATGTTGCTATGGTAACATTATACTACTTTGGTCATAGTGCAATATGAAAAAAAAATCTTAAAGAGAAAAACAATTTAGTAAACTGAAAAAAAATCTTTTTTTTTTTTTCGTACTGTCGCCAGTCAGTGTCCCTGATCACTGCCACACCAGTTATATGCTGATACTGAACTGCACTGGTGACAGTGTTAAAAAAAAAAAAAAAATTGTGAAATTTTTTTTTTTTTTTTCATTTTCCAAAAAATTATGACCAAAAAATTATTACAACTTCAAAAAACTCGACATGCCTCTTATGAAATACGTCAGACTGCCTACTTTGAAAAAAAAAAGGGTAATTTGGGGGATATCTGTACTGTTCTGACATTTTTGGGCCTCAAGAAATTAGATTGGCTGTCAGTACTTCAGGATTGATCAATGTTCAGATCTATACCATAGTTTGTGAACTCTATAACTTTCCTACAAACTAAATAATAAATACTGATTTGGGTTATTTTCACCAAAGAAATGTAGCAGAATACATCTTGGCGTAAATTTATGAAGAGCAATTATTTATTTGCAAACTTTTTAAAACAAACTAAAAAACGTTTTTTTTAAAAAAAAAATAAAAAAAATTTTCAGTCTTTTTGTTAATTTAGCAAAAAATAAAAACCCCAGTGTTGATTAAATACCACCAAAAGAAAGCTCTAGTTGTGTGAACAAAATGATAAAATTTTAGTTTGAGTACAATGTTGTATGACTGCTGCCTCAGTAATATGTTACACCCTACATACAGGTGTAACATATAACATGTTTTAGAAGGTGAACGTTTCCTTCACGCTGCCCTTAGAAAATTGAGAGAGGCAGAGCAGATTCTTCCATCCACACTAATGATCGCCTTCAATGGGCAGAAACTCATTGATCGAAATTCTGCTGTTCCCTGCTGAACCAGCCAAATTTCAATCCATCTAAGGCCACCTCTACAGGTAGTTTAATTACGTTGTAATAAATGTTCCTAGGGATTTATGTTGTGATTATTAAAAACAGGTAGATGAATTTACTTTTTTCCAGCTTTATCAACCATGTCAGGTGGCCCCAATTGTTGAATTTATGTTGGTCATCAGACCTTGGAGCAAGCTGGATGATTAGCCAGTCCCGATCTTGCCCCTAGTCTATCCACATGGATGATGAGCCTGTCCTGATCTTGCCCCTATCCTATCCACATGGATGATGAGCTTGTCCCGATCTTGCCCCTATCCTATCCACATGGATGATGAGCTTGTCCCGATCTTGCCCCTAGCCTATCCACATGGATGATGAGCTTGTCCCGATCTTGCCCCTATCCTATCCACATGGATGATGAGCTCGTCCGATCTTGCCCCTAGCCTATCCACATGGATGATGAGCCCGTCCCGATCTTGCCCCTAGCCTATCCACATGGATGATGAGCCCGTCTCGATCTTGCCCCTATCCTATCCACATGGATGATGAGCCCGTCCCGATCTTGCCCCTATCCTATCCACATGGATGATGAGCCCGTCCCGATCTTGCCCCTATCCTATCCACATGGATGATGAGCCCGTCCCGATCTTGCCCCTATCCTATCCACATGGATGATGAGCTCGTCCCGATCTTGCCCCTAGCCTATCCACATGGATGATGAGCCCGTCCCGATCTTGCCCCTAGCCTATCCACATGGATGATGAGCCCGTCCCGATCTTGCCCCTAGCCTATCCACATGGATGATGAGCCTGTCCCGATCTTGCCCCTAGCCTATCCACATGGATGATGAGCCCGTCCCGATCTTGCCCCTAGCCTATCCACATGGATGATGAGCCCGTCCCGATCTTGCCCCTAGCCTATCCACATGGATGATGAGCCCGTCCCGATCTTGCCCCTAGCCTATCCACATGGATGATGAGCCCGTCCCGATCTTGCCCCTAGCCTATCCACATGGATGATGAGCCCGTCCCGTTCTTGCCCCTATTCTATCCACATGGATGATTGGCCAGTCCTGATGTTGCCTAGTCTACCTGCATAAGCACTTGCAATGAAGTCATGATAGAGCAGATTGTGGTACAGAGGATCTGAAATGATCTATGGTCCTTTCTGACAGGATGACATCCTAGCTTTTGGTCAACTAATGATTTCTACCTTTCTGTGCATACTTTCCAGATTACAGCCCAACTGGATTTTTGGGAGAGTCATCTGATTTGGACCCACCTCTTCCCTTTAAAGTACACCGTCACCTGAACATGCAAGTTCCCCTCATAATCTCCTCCCCAGCCAATTAAGAAATCTTTTTTTTTTTGTTTTGGTGGTACCTGCTACCACTTCTTTCCTTCACTAGGCAAAGATGTCACCTCAGACTGTAGATGCAATATTTGTAGCTGCTGACCTTTGAATATCACAAGCTTGGGTACAGTTCCGTGTGGGGTGACTAGCTTATCTTTCAGGTTTTTGAAGAGCGTTTCAAATGCCTCCTCATTGCAGAGCATCCTCTGTGATCAAAGGTGCTCAGTGGGAATAGGATGAATCTCACTCCACCTCCCTTCCATCCACTGTGGGTGTCCAGAGAACGCCGCCATGGAGAGGAAAGCTGGAGAAACAGTGTTGGATTCATGAAGCCAGGTTTCGGTGACAGCAAGTAGTTATTGGTTTTGAACAGAGGTAAGTTTGTTGCAGACAGAGCAGGCATTCCATGGGGTACAGGAGAAGGGTAGGATGGTTTTGGGAAGAAGAGGAATGGATTTAAATTGTGTGGATTGTGGCTGCTGGGTGATGGGTGCGTTTGGTTACAGTTGACAATTGGAAGAGAGCACATGTTGCAGAGAGGAAGGAGAGCTGAATGGGGAAACGAGGTCACCTGCAGTGTGATGTTTTGCAAAGTCGTTTGCTGTAGATTTTCGCTTTGTGCAATTGCTGAAGTGCAAGAGCAGAAGTGCCACTTAATTAACAAACCCCACTTTATTAGAAGAACCCCAACATGCACCACCCTAATATGTGCACCCTGCCATGTGCCTTCCCCATAATGGTGATTTAGATTTATACTGTGGTGGGTGGGTGTGGTATTTGCCAATGGATCAATCAGAAGTTAATATAAGGCACACAGCAGAGCAACTTCTTCACACCACAATCAAACTGCTAGAGGACCAAGAGGGCAGGGTTGTAAAGATTAGACTCAGTTCATAATTTAGGTAAGAAACGTAAAGACAAACACAATAATGTGAACAGGGCTACAGATGGATGGGAAGCAGCAGTAACATAAATGCAAGTTTACCTGTAAAGGGAGAGAAAAGATGTTCAGATGAGCAAGAGGGGAAAGTCCAGTTAATTCCTGACTATACTTAACCACTTCAATACCAGACACTTTTACCCCCTCCTGCCCAGGCCAATTTTCAGCTTTCAGCATTGTCGCATTTTGAATGACAATTGCGTGGTCATGCAACACTGTACCCATAAAAAAAGTTAGCATTTTTTTTCTCACACAAATAGAGCTTTCTTCTGGTAGTATTTAATCACCACTGAGCCCACAAGCTATGGTGTGTATGTATGTATGTATATGTGTGTGTGTGTGTGTGTGTGTGTATGTATATGTATATATATATATATATATATATATATATCTCTGCCAGTCAATCAATCCTGATGTACTGAGAGCCAATCTCATTTCTTGAGGCCCGAAAACTCCAGGATAGTCCAAGTACCCCCCCAAATTACTCATTTTTGGAAAATACAGTCCAAGGTATTTAGTAAGAGGCATGGTGAGTTTTTTGAAGTTGTAATTTTTTGCCACATTTTTTTGAAAATGAGCAAATTTAAAAAAAAAAAAAAAAAAAAAAAAATCAATTTTTTTTTTCTTTTTACATATTGTCACCAGCACAGTACAGCGTTCTGTAACTTGTGAGGAGGTGATCAGAGACACTGACTGATGACAGTATGTAAAAAAAAAAATTTAATAATAATTACATTTTTTTTTTTCAACTTGTTCTATCATTTTTTTTTTTTTTCTTTTTAATTAAATTTTTTTACTATTTTTTTCAACACTCTGTGACCAGAGCAATACAACCTTAACACAGTAACATTGTACTACTCTGGGCATGTGATCAGTATTTTTGTTACACATTATGATTGCTAATACCAATGTATTTCATTGATATTAACAACCAATTTTACTGAATGAAACTGATTCATTCAGTCTTTTGTTGTGATTGGGCAAAGCTCATCACATGGTACATATGGGCTGTGATTGGCCCTGTCTGTGCCTTGTGACCAATCACAATTGTATACAAGGATGGTATGAAAGGAAGCCATCCGTTCTATACAAGTGTTATGTGATCCACTGTGATTGGTCACAGCGGTCATATATGACACTGGCAGTGGGCCGGTGTAGTGATCTCTCATCGGCTGTGTCCCATGTACACAGCTGGTGACAGGTTGCACTGCCGTGCGGCCACTTGGGCAGCACCTTTTGACAGGACATCATATGATGCCCACTCAGAAGGAGGAGTGTCCCACCCAGCCCTCAATCTGCTATAGGCCGGGTGGGAAGGTGTTAGAACAGGCTTAGAATGGGGTAGAAGCATGTTTAAACTACCCTGTAAATGAAAGAAATCTACACTTGCCTATTCTGAGGGCGCTCCAGTCTAATCACATGATCTCTCCTGCTGCCATCTTCAGTGAAGAGGAGAGATCTCTGACAATGGCTGCAGAGCCTGGGTGATGACATCACCCATAGGCTTACTATGGGGCGTTCATTGTCTGCTGTCCCTCCACTACACTGGATTCGGCGTTGGGGGCCAGTCATGTGACTGAACTAGAGCGCTTTCAGCATAGGTAAGTGTAGATCTCTTTCCTTTCACAGAGCAGTTAGATTAGGCTCAGAATGGTGGTAGGAGCAGGTTTAAGTATAGTGAGGAGTTGACTATTTGACGATTTATTAAGGTAATAATTATTATTGTGCAACATCCACAGATTGTCAGTCATATCCTGCATGTTCTGCTCCCAGGGAGCGCGCACAAGCAGGGTGCGGGGAGGCCACCCGACCTTGCACTACCACCGTCCGGCTGTTTTTATATAGTAGCCTTTTTTTTTTTTTAGTGGATTCAAATGTTTTGTTTTTTTTTTTAATGCTATGCGGTATGCTACCACATACTTGGATGCGGTAAGATACCACTTAGTGAATTGTGCCTCGGATATGGACCAGCCAAAAAACGCGTCCAAACACATATAAACGTGGTTAGCCGCGTTTAGAAGCGTTTGATGTTTGAAACGCTGGTAAAATCTACTCCTGAACGTGATTTTGTTTCCTTCAAGAAAACGACTGTAAACTCTGCTGCTAAAAAAAAAAAAAAAAAAAAAAAGAAAAACGCTCAAAGCTCCTGAAGGTCAGTTTAGCAGCTGCAGTGTACATGAGCCCTTACTCCTATGTCCACCTCAGTCAAATACCTCCCCACTCACTTTCAAAGTTTTGTAATGCTAAGAAGAAAACTATTGTGGCCACCACATCTGTAAATTGGTAAGTTGCAATAAAGTTCACCCGTTGTAAAGACCTTTTTTTAAAAAAAAGTTCAGGGTTTCTTTAAATATACATTATATTAAAAGCAAAAGTTTGCTGACTTAGACATTCCATCTACAGTTTCTTGGATTTTGAAGTGGATGTGTGATTAAATGTGTAGCTGTTTGTTTTGGATGGATCTTCCTTATAAAGCTTGCTGGCCATCTCTCATGATAATAAGCTGATAGAGCTATCTGTTTTCTTCTTCTTCAGGTTAAAGGTCCAGGAGTAGGTCTTCTTGGCCATTCTAAAGGTGGAGATTTGGTGCTTTCTATGACGTCCTTCCTGAAAGGTATAACCGCTGCAGCTGTAGTAAATGGATCTGTGGCCAATATTGCAGCAGACCTTCACTACAAAGACATCACACTGCCTGCTATTGGCTATGACCCCAAAAAAGCGAAATTCCCACAGCCAGGATTTGTCGATATCAGGGACATTTTTAACAATCCATTAGAAGAACCGAATCGTCAGAGCCTTATTCCTGTTGGAAGAGCAGATTGCAAGTTTCTCTTTATCGTGGGAGAAGATGACAGGAACTGGAAAAGCGACTTTTATGCTCGGACTGCCTGCAAACTTTTGGAAGAGCAAGGGAAAGAAAAACCAGAGGTTGTGTACTATGCCAAAGCAGGACATTACATTGAGCCGCCTTACTTCCCCCTGTGTAAAGCTTCCATGCATAAGCTTGTTGGTCTGCCATGTGTTTGGGGCGGGGAACTTAAAGAGCACAATTTTGCACAAGTAGATTCCTGGCAGAGAATTCAGGCTTTCTTCCGCAAGCACTTAAATCAGGAAAGTCCCTCAAGCAAACTATGAATATGATACTATAGGAAAGATATCATAAAAAAGATAAATACAAAGATATTCTATTCTGATAACCATACGTGCTAAATACATGTGTATTCCACATACCTGATTTTATTTATTTATTTTTTATTTCATATGCCAATTTTATATATTTACCTACATTTACATCTTGATTAGGGTGTCCAGCAAATGTATGTCATGGACTGGGATAAATTAGACTATTACCAGAGGCGCATGAGCAGTTGCAGCATCAGTCTGAGGAATTCATAAAGAGTGCTGTAGACACTCTTTACAATTCCATTGCTTCTCTGCATGATCCCTGATGTCATTACCTGAATATGGCTGGCCATATTTTGACAATGTCAGCCAGGGGGTGGCTCTGTTTGCATTCAGCGGTTGGCAGGGGAATCTCCTGGATGGTAGCTGAATGGGACTGGGGATGAATCACTGGTTGGATGTATTCACAACACATATGCCCAGCTCTGAGTATTGGTCTCTCTCTGTGCATGCAAACTCAGAGCTAGTTCTAATTATCGCCAGTGTGCTTATCTGTGAACTGGCAATTATCCCCAGCCACAGTGACTGATTTTAGTGGCGCTAGTAAAAACTACCTGAAATTGGTACTTGTTTTTACTGGTACCAAAGCTGGTGCAGAGGTTTTTTTTTTTTTTTTTTAAATTAGGTACAGATTATGTTAAAGGGACCATACCACCATCAAAGTAGTGTTGTTGCTTTATTGAATTCCCCCCATTGTCTTTATTAAAAAGTTAATAAAAGATGGCTGCTTATAGCTCACCTGGAACTGGTATAGGTTTCCCAACTCCTGGAACTATCACTACAGCTGGTCAGTGTAGTCTGGATATAAATGTGGAGAAAATGACAAAGACATATGAAATAAAGACGTTAGTGAAAGTATATTATGTTCAACAGGTGTCCTGTTGATCTTGACAAAGAGCAGAGATGCTTGAAACTGTTCTAGAGTATGTTCTTTGCAGATGAATACTGTATCTTCCTTTTTAGAGTTTACCTCTTGTAATTGCATCATAAACTGTGCAGCTTTCCAAACGTACCTGGTAAGTATTGACTGCAGTCGATGATTACGCTTAAGAAAATACAGTTTTTGCTATGATAGTGGTCCAATAATGTGGAAGATAAACCAAACTACAATAATTCATAAAAATGTTCTCTCCCCCTACCAAGCCGGCCTAAAATCTGTTTAAAAAAAAAAAAAAAAAAAAAGGTGTGCGCCAATTTATTTTTATTCTGCACTGGTCTGGCCTGGTCTCGTGGCCCCGCAGCTCCGGTTCCCCTTTGTCAGTGAGTGGCTGCTGCAGGGGGGAGAAGAGGGAAAGCTGGTAATGGCTGGGCAGTGGGAGACTATGGGTGATGTTATGACTCCCAGAATTCATAGACCCTACACAGAGCTACAGAATCATATGACCATACTACAGTGTATTGAAAAAGATAAGTACACAGACCTTCTCCTTCCTTTTTTTTTGTTAGTATAGGAAGGACTATGGGGGAGTAAACATTTTTAGGAATGGTAATAGCTAGAGTTTTTTCTTTCACTTTAAGAAAGACCTTCACTAGTTCTGGCTGATGTGGACAGCCTTAGCAAATGATTACTAAGGGTATGTTCACACCAGTTGCTGTGTTGCAATGCAGCGGCTGGTGTGCGGTGCTATCCAGCCTCATGCGCCAATCTTGGCACATTGCACTGTTCCTTTTTTTTTTTTTTTTAACTTTAAAACGTCACACAGACATCTCATAAAGTTCAGTTGCTGGCCACACAGTGTGTGGTGGTGGATTGTGCTAGAAAAAATACCGCGTGCAGTACTTGTCAGTGCACACCACCACAACGCAGTGGTGTGAATTGGGGAGATAAGGAGACATGGCATTTTGCCTTGTTATGTGGTGGGACTGTGGTGGAATAGCCACCCAATGCAGCCCACTGCATCTGGTGTGAATGGGCCCTTTATACTTTTGCTATATTAAGGTAAAGTTCCGGCATGTAACCTTCCGTTATGATTGATCTCATCCCTCTCTGTACTGCCAGGCAGCCCACCTTTGATCCCAGTAGAAGTGATTGAGTGGCTGTATAGCCTCTTGGATCACTTCCACGTGAAATCCCATGCTGGCTGTAAATTTTGATACCGGGATGATGCCTGCAGGTGAAGGCATCATCCCGTTATAACCACTTTAATTCAAGGACTTAAGGGTATGTCCTAAGGGGTTGAAGTGGTTAATGTAGGGAATGCATTAAGGTGACAAATGTCTAGCCTTTAGAACCACTTTGTTAATACTTTCAGTGAGCTGTTTATGTAAATAGCTTATAAAATGGGAAAAAAATGCTTTTGGGGTCAATTTTATAAAGGATACAGACACCACATTGTTCACTGTAGTCTGCTCACCATTTTATGAATTAAAAAAAATGCATAGTGTGAAGTCGGGTATTCTTGTAGAATACTATAAAGAGTACTCTGCTGCTTGCTTCAAAGTCCAGAAACAAAGCAGAGGGGCATTTGTAAAGCTCAGAACTGGACTTAATAGGGGCAGGGGGTGGGGAGGAGTATATTGCTGTATAAATCAGCCACAAGTTTGTTTGGGTTTTTTTTTTTTTCACTTGGATTTCTGTAGCTTAGTAGTACTTAGCGGTACTTAATGCAGGCAGGCAATAAAAATAAACCTACCTGCCTGGCACCTAGAAGAAGCCAGGAATAAGATGGCCGGGAAGAACCTCAGCGGCATCAGATCATTGGAGCCACAGTAAGTATTTTGGCCTCTTTAAGGCCCTCAGTACAAATTTTTCCATTGTAAGTATTTTAATTGGTAACCTGTGTAAAGAGAAAAACAAAAACTAATTACATGTGCAGAACTGGTAAGCATGCTCAGGCTTTGAGCCCAAGTACTAAAGATTAATGTGTACAAAGAACACAGGGAACAGGATGAATAAGTAACTAAATACAGTCTTGTGGTGTTTAAACTTAGTGAGTTCTCAAACATTTGCTTTTGGCTTTAGCTTATTTGAAGTGTCTTTTTGAATTTTAAGATTAATAAACATGTATTCTAAGTTAAAATGATAAATGCACTTAAAACGTACCTTCACCCAAGAGCATGACTTCCTCTGCTAACTCCTGCCTCTGTCTTACATAATCGGAAAAAGGACACAGACGTGTCAGGGGCCTATAGGATCTGGCTGGCAGATACCTGCGGTTTGTCTGCACGTGCGCAAAATCCTGCGAAAACCGCCGGGTATGTGAACCAAGCACCAGGCCTCTGCCAGTCTATAGGACTTGGCAGAGACATGCCTCTTGTCTCTGCCAAGTCCCATAGACTGGCAGAGGCCTGGTGCTTTGTTCACATACCCGGCTAACTCCTGCCTCTACCTTACACAATCGGAAAAAGGATATAGACGTGTCGGAGGCCTATAGGATCTGGCAGATACCTGCGGTTTGTCTGCACGTGCACAAAATCCCTTTTGAAAAAACCACCGAGTATGTGAACAAAGCACCAGGCCTCTGCCAGTCTATGGGACTTGGCAGAGACAAGAGGCATGTCCATGCATCCACAGGATAATAGTAAAATATGGCGGTCTGGGAGCAGAGTGATTAATAAGAACTTTGGCTGGAAGCAGGACAACATTGGGCTCAATGGACAAATAAGTATGTTTTTACACACAGGAACAATTACCATGGACTAGTAAAAAGTAGCTAGATAAGGTTAATGTCCTCGTTAACATTTTTTGTTTTGCACTAACATTTGCACTAATTATAGATGGAACAGTAGAGGATAGAATTTATATGCATGGAAATGTTCTGGTATGACCATGCAGTCAGTGGGGTAGATTGAGTTTCCTCCATCAAAAATACTCAGTTTTTTTTGTACACAGACTAAAGTGTACCTGCATTGTACTTTTTACATTGTAAACTTTCAGGTGGATCTTAATATATGCATTCAGAGCTGCCTTCAGATACCTGCTGCTATATTGCACAACATCTTTGGAGCCCTGAAAAAATAAAGGTACTCTATTCTGAAAGCACTAATTTGCCTAGTTAAAGGGAAGTATGGCTAAAGCTCTTTTGGCTGTACTTCTATAGATCACAAGAGTGAAGTTCGTTCTGCAATCCTGTGAACTGTTTTCAGCTGACATTGGGCTAAAGCCTGCTGTTGGCTGACATCACGCAGCCAGTCCAGGCGTTGGATCGATTCTGACTTTACAGTCGGGGTCCACCCTGCAGCCTGGAGTGGCAGCTGGCTCAGCCTCTCGGTGCTGGGAGACTGAGCTAGCCCCTCTGCCTTTTTGTTGGGGGGGAAAACCATACTTCTCTTTTAACTCATCAGCTGGCCCTCACTTTCAATACTGATCCCCCAGTGTGGTAGTAGACTTTACTGACCATTTGTGAAACTTGAAGCTTGTATACCTTCTCCATATATGTTACCATAACCCAAAACCACACAGTTTCTGCCTAAAATTACCATAGAGGGAGTGTGTGTGCTTGTATATGGTTGAATTATTAGATTGTAAGCTCCCGTAAGACAGTGACATGACTCACATGGTGTAAACGTCTACATAAGGCACTTACTGTATATTAAACCCAAGACATATTGGGGATGACGGTAAGTGGACAAAGAGGCTGGTCGAGTTCCTTATGTATGAATCATCTTACAGTGTACATATCTTAGTTATTAAAATACAACAGACTGAAGGTTTTAGATTTTGTCTGTTTGTATGGAGCAAAATGAATTGGCATTACTTTTTATATGCTTTTCAGAACAATACTTATATCTTCTATCCTGTCTACATGTCATGTTAATGTAGCTCATAGACATTTGCCAAAATGGCTTGCTGCATTCAGGGCTTTTCAAAGTAGTCTGACCTTCATTTATGATGAAAATGTTTCATATTTTATATGGTCAAGTTTACTTTTCATTGCTTTTAACAAATTTTATACCAAAATAAAGATATTTAAAAATGACAATTTTGGGAACAGAAGTGTGTTATTTTTAGT